AGAAACAAAGAATGAGAGAAACAAGGAAGAGGTGGAGTAGTGGTTGCAACAGCTAACAGGCTACGGATGACCAGGGAGTTGAGGGAGAGTGGTACGCGGAGTTTGTTTAACTCCAATAAAAGCCTCCAAAGTCAATCTGGTTGTTTTTCCATTTTTATGTTTTGTATTGTGTGTATGTTTGTATTGTTTGTAAATCTGTTTGTATATTTTGTCATTCTAGTTTGTACTGTTTGTGTTATTTTTATGTCCATTTTATATACTTCGTAATTTTTCATAATACTCAAACTATCTCTGTCATTAATTAAAAAGACATTCCCATTTTGTGTTCAAATCTAATAGTTGGAAGAAGTTTACTCAAGTGAATAAGCAGATACGCCATCCATCGATTACAGCCTGTCCATCCTTCTTGTCACAATCATCCTCTTATATTGAGCTTAAGCCTCCCAGAGTCAAGAGTCAAAGTCAACGGAGTTGAGGACGAAGATGGGAGGAATCAGGAATGGATCCCTTGCCCTTGTGAGACAGTGAGAGGTGGAAAAAATCCCAAGTTACACATGTTTTTAAAAAAAATTCTCAAAATACACACGTTGTGAAAATAATTCCCAATCTACGTATGTTTGGGTCATCACCGCTGTCGACGAAGACAGTGATTGCATCATTGCTGTCGACGAAGACAGTGATTGCATCACCATAACATGTATATCTCAACTGCAGGCTATAGCCTAGCTAGATATTACCTACACAGCCCAACTAAAAGAAGCATTATAAGCATCACGGGTTTCTTTCCCTTTGTTACCAAAGTCGGATTGTACAACCCGCGACTTCAACTATTAGATGTTTAACAGTTTTGAACTCCAGATTGATCTCTCACTTTCCATGCCTTACTCATCATAGTTATACTAAACCTATGAAGTCCTTCACTAGACATCAATTGGAGTCTTATGAGAAGTGTGAGATCATCTCTACATGTTTCATGGGAACTTTTGATAATCCCCCTTTACTTGAATTACTTCACAACGACCTCTTTCATTGAGGTCTGCTGGAGTAATGTTCGTTTTGTCGCTGCAAGTTTAGAGGAATCATTCTTTGTCGTTCCCAAGTGTCTGATAAGCTGTCAAAACTTGTTATCAAGTATATTAAAAATGTACATTCTATGCAAATGATTGAGTTTAGGTTGATCTTTTACACCGTTGAGTAACCCCGTACGTCTTCTTGTTTTTTTTTTTTTTTTTTTGCTAACTGCAGTTGTTGGTAAGCATTACAGGGTCACAAAAGATTTCTATGCCAGTGACAATTGTAGTTTGTGGGATAGCCAAAATGTTTGTTGGTGAACTTATTGAAACAGGTACGATACGAATGCCCCTACCGCCTCAGTTAATCTAATTAGTTACTTCAGACTTCATTGGACAACAATTTCCTGTAGTTGGGGTTTCTAATCAATAGAAATCGTTCGATGTCTCAATTGATTTCGATCTACCATATCTGTTCAAGTGAATTTCAATTAACGAACCTTTGGTGTGTTTCCCATATCTGTTTGTAGCAAGAATCGTGATGACAGAACGAAACGAATCTGGACCAATCAGGCCTTGTCACATTAGAGAATCATATAGACGACTAAAGCTCGAAGGCAAAGTACCAAAAAGATCAGTGCCAAGGCTCTTCCGTTAGATTCTCTGGAATGCTGATGCACTGGTCAACCATTCAAGTTTCATTCTTTCGTAAATCTTGAGGTTACACATCAGTTCTCGCACAATCTTATTTCCTTTAAAATGTCGATTGATATGGAAACATATAGATGGTGATTCTTATTCCTTCTAGTTTGGTATTTGGTTCCTCAACCTATCATGTCTCATGACTGTGGGCGGCGAGAGTTCGATTCAGCATGCCATGTAAAGCAACGAGCCACCTTTTTGGAATTTGTTATAGTGTATAGTTTAGTGATGATGGGCAAATTGTTCAGTAAATATGATTCGCTGGTGATTAACTCATAATTGAGTATTTTGGATATTTGATAAATCTTAGTGGGGCTAGTCAGTGGCATTCTATCTGGATTCCTTGGGATAAAAGTCTCCAGCTTGGATTGGCATAATGGAAAACAATCATTTGTGGACATTGATTATTGATGTTAAAATAATCGAGTTATCATGCTGTTTCTTGCCATTTATGTCACAGCCTCCTGTTGGTGATAGAACACATGAACATGTATCTATGATCTGGTTTTGTGAATGGAGAGTGTGCTACTTGCTCCTCGGTGCCTGTTCCTCCACACGTAGATTCACGGGGTGTTTAAATGGATCAGATCTTGATGGGCCGGGCCGGGCCGGGCAATATGGGCATCCTGATTGGGCGGGCTTTTAAGCATCCAACCCAACGGCTGCCATCGGGTTGTCCTGTCCAGCGTCCAAGGCAAGAAGATTAGAAGATACGTCAACAATGCGAACAACAAGGCAGAAAGTGGATCCAATGTTGTAAGGACAGTAGCAAAGGCACCGTATATTATATTATTGCACGCCATGAAATGAATCGGTCCAAAATCTCAACATATAAAATCCCAAGCTTTGGCTAGTTTCAAATTTTCTCCCCAATGATACCGGCGATCTTTATCGTAATTAATTATTTTTATAATTGAGAACCGTTAGATTATAGAGAAATGAAGCAGTCGTGGGAGGTTAATGAGATTTCCTTCTTTTTCTTTAGTTAGGGTTTGGGGGAAGGGAGTTGCTATTTTTTTTTTTTTTTTTTATGAACATGATACTCATATTATTAAATCAGCATTGAGCACTCAAAAATATGGGAAACGAGTTCAAGTAACAGACTAGACACGACCCATTAAAGACCCACACAGAAGTGTATTTCTCTTCCTCTGCAACCATCTTTATTGCTTTTAGGTTCGTGCAGGCTTCAGCACTCGTTGGTGCTCGACATTGGATTCTCTCGGCTTTCTTGTTATATCCCTTATGAACAGCTTTGATGATGATGTAAATACACGCCTTGCAGGATGTCACTTCCGAAGGCACAATTGCACGAGATTACTTTGTCGTAATTCCTCAAATGAGGGCCTAGATTTGATGAGACTCCCTAGACTGAGAGGGATGTTCAAAATTTCCATCCCTCACAATGTCTATCATTCTTCGAGTTCTTTCCCTGCACAAACCGAAATACTAATCGGGGAAAATTGCATCATCAAAGACATTTGAGTTTCTTACTTTCCATATCTACCATCCATAGTATAAAGTCTACATAGCGTTGGGAAGAAATCGTATGCCTCAATGCAAACAACCAGCTCATCAAGGAAGTAACTAGTGGTGGCAAAGATATACCAGGATGAGAATATGCCTAAGATTTTGGTGACATCGAAACATCAAATGATTATGGGTCTTAGAATCAACGATGAATCTTTTAGGGTAAATACAATATATTAGCCACAATGAACTATTATGAAGCGGGAAATTATAGCTACAACTATTGAAATTCAAATTATTAGCCATAACTATTGTTGCAGGTCAAGATATGGCTAACTGTCCGTTACTGTTATTGAATTTTTGACAGAGAAGGCCAAGTCATCGGCCACGACAGCGGCCACGTAGGAACGCTTTTAGTTTATAACTTCAAAACATAAAAGTTTAGTCAGTATTACTAACGAAATTGTTAACAGATAGTTAACGTATGGCTAATAATTTGAATTTCAATATTTGTGGCTATAATTCTCCGCTTCATAATAGTTGTGACTAATATATTGTATTTACCCAATCTTTTATATTCTGGATTTGGAACACACTTCTTGGAGAAGAACTTGACAAATATTCAATTACTTATGACAAACTTCATATTTGTCTTGGTCATAATGCAACAGATACTCGCCTCAATGCCTTGATGAATCTCATTTATGCATTATATTTGTATTGGATGTCATGAGAAGAAATGATGAAGGATGATTGGGAGTTGCTCTGTTTGTAGTTTCGCTGCTATGTAACGAGTAACGACCATAAAGAGGTGGAAGTACAAGATAGCAATAGATAAACAGAATTTGAAGTTAAACTTGTTTCTTTCGTATATATTTTCTGTAGTTTCAAGCAAATATGTTTCACATATTAAACCTTTATAACATAATTTATGAGATATGGTGTGAAACTAGGCTCACCAATCCTCAAGACAAAAAATTTTGTCCGTTGACGTAAATAATGAGTTGTTTGATGGCATTGGATCTCAAAGTCTCCATGGAAGTTAAGTGATCCAAAAGTTATAAGGGTTCACCCCAAGTTGAAATATAAATCTCATTTAGCTGCAAATTTGGCAACAACGAAAGTGGAAGGACGAGAGAAACTGAAATCTTTTATTCTAACCCTACCTATTTGTTTGATGATATCTCAAACCCTACTTCCTGTAATGAATAAAAGTAGCCAATAATCACGTGAATATGAAAAAAACGTCGAGGAAAGAACTAATACCGACATAGGAGGTATTTAGTCATCTCATCTTTTGATTTTGCGTAACAACTATTACAAATTTTTGGAAATGTAGGGGTTTAAGAAAAAGTGACACATTTTTCAATTGATTTTGTCAATAATAATGATTATATTTATACCAATAACATCGACAATATGATCGCCACATCAACTTTCTCAGATAACTCACTGTTCGTTATGTAGACCATAAAAAATGACAATAAACTACATAACTAGACTATTTTGTATCTATTGCGATATTTTTGAAAATTCAACTAATATTTGTTCAAAGCATAAAAATTAGGGCGATTTAGAGAATTAACCCAAAAAGAAAGATTTAGATGAGACAAGGCCATTTGAACGTGGCAACGAAAGGATAATAGGAAAAGAAAGGAAGGGCAGAATGGAGAAGTCAGCCGAAAATAAACCTCCCACCTCACCTCTTTCCCTTACCTTCTCTCTCCCCTCACTGTAGAAGTGGTTTTAAGTATTAATATTCTTTTCGTTTTTTCTTTCTTCTCCCCTATGTATGTTTATTTCTTCCTCGTCTCATCGCCTCCTTCCTCCTATACATTGTTTTTGTGTGTTTCTTCTCTTCTCTGGGTGCCTTCTCTGTTTCTTCATTTTGTTCTTCTGCTCTATCCTCCCTCCGCTTTCCCTTTCACCTACTACCTTCCATTCTTTGTCCCTTATCTCTTCCCCCTTCTGACTCCTCGCCCAAAATCTTCCGGCGGAAGGAGGGGTTGGTGTGTGATTTGTTTCTGGGTACACGGACAGAGGAGCCGAAGAAGAGGAAGATGACGGGAAGCCATTCCTTATCCTGATGAAACGTATCTGAATTCCATCACCAGCTGTTTTGTTTATGGTTACAATGATGAGGTCCGTGCCCTGTTCCTCCTCACTCCTCGTCTGTTCTCTTTCGGTCTTCGTCTTCGTTGTTCTGGGTTTTCTGTTTGTGTTTGGTGATTCTGAGATTCTGCTTTGTGTTTTTGAGTCATGGGTTCTTTTGAGCAGTGGCTGATCTTCTTTTTTTGCTAAGATTTCTCATTGGACTTGTGAGCGGCATTTTGTCTGTTCTTCTGATCGCTGAGGTCGTCTTAGACTGGTAGCGTTTCGATTTCTGGATCCGGTTTTCATTGCTGCTGCTGCTTTCTCCGTCGCTGTCCGCCGCCGCAGTCTGTTTGGCAGTTCCCCTTTTGCTCCTTCACTCACCCACCCTTTCCTTCTTCCTTCTCCCGCCTCATCTCTTCCAATAATGTTTTCCATCTGCAGATTTCATATCTCTTCCAATAATGTCTCTTGGCGGAGGAGAAATCGGTAGAGAGTCTCTCCGCTTGAATCGTCTTCCTCTCCCGGTAGTGTGAATTGGGAATGATTCCTGTTCTCTGAACATTGGATTGGAATTCCCCCCCTACCCAGAAAAGAAAAAAAGATCCACCTGCTCTAGGGTTTTCTAGCAGTCCAGTCCCCGTTGCTGTTCCCGATTTGAACAGCGGGGACGATCCAGATTCCAGAAAGAATCCCTAATTCCAGCCCTGCTTCCTGCAATTCCACCAAAATCCATAGTCTCTATCTCTTCTATTCAGTTACAGAGCTCTCTAGCCTCCTCCTTAAATCGCGGATTACACTATGTATAGATGAAAACCCACTCGAGTAATGGTCTTTCGGTGTCTTTCTTCTGAAGATTTCGGTTGTTTGGATTAAAATGGATTCCTACTGATTGGATTTCGCTATGGTTTCTTTGTTTGAATGTTCTTTTTTCTTTTAATTTTTTTGGGTGTCGCTGACCAGTGGAAAAAATTGGTTGTTGGTTGCAGATATCAGAGAGTAAGCCCAGATTGTCTCCCTTTACCTAACGGCAAGAAGCCCACCAGCACCGTCGGCACGAGCGGCGACAACGGCCGGTCAATCCCAAACGGAGTCAGTTCATCCTCCGCAGGTTACGAAATCAAAGGGTTCAGATACAGATCGCCGTCCAGAACGCAGGATTTTCACCACCACAGCAGCAGCAGCAATGGCGGCGTCGGAGTCGGGAGCCCGTCGCGCTCCGACAACGGGCCGAATCAGAGCCACAAACGAGAGGCGAGCCCACCCAGCCGGGGCGGGAGCGGCGATATGTTGCTGCAATGGGGTCAGAAGAAGAGGGCGAGGGTATCCCGGTCGGAGATCCGGGCTCTAACCGATGAGTCCTCATCTTCCGGTCAAGCCAGGCAGCAACAAGCCGTCGCCAATAAGGTCCCCAGGAGACTAGACGAAAGCAAGCTGCCGGGGCCGTCTATGCCTCCGCCGCCGCCGCAGGCGGCACAACATCCACCGCAAACTACCAACGGCAGAGGAGGCAACCTGAGGAAAGAAACCGCCGCTCTCCTCACGCATAGGTAAACCCGATGAAACAATTTGCGCTATCTGTCTTGTTCAATCTCGTACAACTTCACTTTTTGGTGTTTCTGCAGTTTTGTGTTATCGTTCATATATGTATTTCTCTCTTTCGTGGGTATTTGTTACTGAAAATCCATTCAATTCAGGGATTTCGAATCAATCAGTTTGGGTTTTGATGGTTAAAGGACTAGGGGTTTTCACTGTTCTGACTCCTAATTGGTTTTCATTTCAAAATCCAGCAAAGGCGTTCGTCGCTGTGATCCATACATAGTAGCACTAGCAAGCAACTTTTGTTAGGGAGCCATCTGAGCGATTTACGGTTCTACCCTCTTGAGAGAATATATATGGCGAACTGAGTTGAGTGATTTCGGATTCCTGACTTTTCTTTTCGCTAGCCAAGTGGGTATTCCAATTTTCTAAAGAAAAAGGAAAGAATAGAGAGAGAGACTTTGTCTAGTTAATAGTATATATATTTCTTGTGATTGTTTGTTAGTACTACTTAGTGGTCAATCCGATACGTGGGGCTTGGGAGAGGGCATCAGCATAAGCCAAGCCGGCCCTTGTTTGGCCCTTTCGCCATTTCTGGGGTTGTTTGTGTGCTGGGTTTTTGTCGTAAGAACATGACAGGAGTAGGGACTACGAGGTAATTTCCTGAATCTTCCGATCTCGATCATCCACCTAGTGTGTTAGGTTAGCTAGCTGAATCTGATGGTGTCATGGTGGGTGGATTTGATGGAAGGAGGGAGGGATCAAACCTCCCATATGTATATGTCTCCATATCTCCACTGTCCAAAGATGAAATATTTTGTGGATTTCTGGTTACGGGTATTTGAGGGAAGGACCTCCCATATGTATCTGTCCCCATAGCTCCACTGTCCAAAGATGAAATCTTTTGTGGATTTCTGGTTATGGGTATGTGAGGGTTTGGTTTTGTTGATTGAATCTCACTGTTTCGTGGTTGGCTTTTTGAAATTTCTTGCTATTTGGTGTTTTTTAGGATTTAATAAGGAGAGGGAAGGGAAGGGTGTCTTCTTGGTTAACTCAATTATGTTGATGATGATTTTGTACTTTTGTAAGGTGGGTGATGGCCGACTGTGTCTGGCTGTATGGTGGTGGTGGTGGTGATGATTTGAGGGAAAGAGGGAGGGATTTGATAAATTAGCTTTGCTTGGCTGTGTATTTAATTGCTTTTGATTCATCAGTTTTTCCCCCTCTTTATTTCTTTTTTGTTTCTGTGGATTTGGGTTCGGGTTTTTGGACTTCACAAAGTCTACAGATGCCCAAAATACCCAATCTTGCACATCTCTTTACAATTAATTCTCTCTCTTTCCCTTTCTCTTTCGCTTTCTCTCTCTAGCTCTGTGTCTTTGTCTCTCTTTCTAAAGTCTCGCACACGCGGACAGAACACAACAGATTGTAGAACCAACGAAGCCAGCCAGCCAGCCTTTGTTTTATTTTTTGTTTTGTTTGTTTGGTTTTTCTTAACTCATCTGTGGGCTTGTTTTTTCCTTTCTTTTTTGTTGGTGGTGGGTTGTATGGTGGTTGTGGCGATGACCAGGAATTTGGAAAAGCGATCTGCTGGGAATGGGTCCCCGTCTCGGCCTAGTACTGGTGGTGGAGGAAGTGGCGGTGGAAGTCGGGTGGTTTCTAGATCTACTACGGCGGGGAAGAGATCTCCTCCGACTCCAGACAAAGTTGATAAAAAGGCTCAGCACCAACAGCAGCAGCCCACCTCTCGGTCTAGCAGGGACGAGAAATTGAATGGATCAGCAGGTGCTTTGCTGCATCAGAACCACCACCAAGCTGCAGCTACTGCTGATCATCATCACCATCACGGGCACGGCCGCCACACAGAGTCAACTTCAGGCCAAATGGACCATGGTGGTGCAGCTGCGGTTCATAATAACACAGCTGCAGCTCCGGTTGCGGTGCCAGAAGTGGTGGAGTGGCCGAGGATTTTCCTCTCGCTGTCGAGGAAGGAAAAGGAGGATGATTTCCTGGTAATGAAAGGCACGAAGCTTCCTCAACGGCCCAAGAAGAGGGCCAAAAATGTTGATAGAGGCCTTCAGGTAACAAACCCAGCTAACCCTTATTAAAAGCTTTTAGCTTTTTTGTGTTTTTGGGTAAGAATGGAAGATTAAGTTTTGATCACCCTAACCCAAAAAAGATTAATAACGAGAACCCATTGATGAGCAAACCATTACATGTGCTTGTTTGATGCTCTGAATGGGGTTCTGAATCGTAACCCAGAAATATGATACATCATGTTTGCATGTGCGGATGATAATGGGGTGTTTGTTTGTTCTTTGGGGTGTGCAGTATTGCTTTCCAGGGATGTGGCTGTCTGATTTGACGAAGAGTAGGTATGAAGTAAGAGAGAAGAAGAGTGTGAAGAAGGTAAATGCTTGAATCTCTCTCTCATCTATCATGTTGGTGCTGAAATTATTAAATACAGAAAAGGAGGGCAATGGAAATGGAGGGAATCAATAAGCACCCACTTAGAATTGTTGGCTATGAATGAGATTAGATTAGATTGGATTAGATGAGCCTTTGGATAGATAGATAGATAGATAGATAGATAGATAGATAGATAGATAGATAGATAGATCTGTGCCCCCTCCCTTCCGCTGTGTCTTGTAGTTGGGACTTGGTATGAGAGAACAAGATCCAGATATCCAGGCAGCTAAAGAACGTAGCTTGTTTTGCCTTTTTGGCTACATCAAGAGCGTAACCTAGGGGATTGGGAGGAAACTTCAAACCAACCATTCAATTCAATGGGCTGCAAATTCATGTGCATCCCTTTCCTTTAGAGTGGAAAAAAAGAAGAGATAGGAATGATAGTAGGGGCGGTGGAAGGGGACAGATCTGATAATGTGTGGTAGGCGAGGTGGACACGGATGCCAATCCATCCCCCTTCTCTTCTTAGATCTGGTCTTTCTGTTAATAGAGTTTTAGTAACGTCATCAACCAGTTCTATCTCTCTAAAACTTGTCTAATAAAGCGATATACTTTAATATAATTAAGCAGCCAGGGGGAGTGGGTCAGGTCAATCTATAATTTCTGTATGCTGTATTGGATGGGGGATTATTATCAATATAAAAATAGCATGTAGATACAAGTGGTGGTATTGCAGAATTATTGGTGTGGGTCTAATATCTCTCAATTTGTGTTGTGGTTGTGGGGGAAAAGCAGCAGCAGAAACGGAGAGGATTGAAGGGGATGGAGAGCATGGACAGTGAATCAGAGTGATGAATGAAGACAAGGCAGAAAGGAAGAAGAAGCCCAGTTGCTGCTGCCGTTGCCGAAGAGCCGCCGCCGTGTTTTTTTATTTTATGGGGGTGAAAAGAAAAGAGTGGGTCAATCAAATGAATAATTGCTTTCTTGGGGGTGGGGTTGTTTCTTATGGTTCTCTCCGCCATTAGAGGAAGAAGAGAGGAGAAGGAGCCCCTCTTTCTCTCTCTCTCTCTCTCTCTCTCTCCAGCCGAGCCGACGGCCTCAGTCGGTCCCCTCCTGCATCGCTTCCTCTGCTCCTTCCCACAAAACCCTTCTTACTTGCTCGGGTACATATATATTTACATCAATGGCGACTCCTCGTTTGGCTGGGTGGGCGAGGAAAGGGTAGAGGGAAATGCCAGTGCCGACATAACCCACTCTTTTCATGGAAAACTTCACCTGCCCGCCCCCAACTGCACTTGTGCTTTTGTCCGCCCATTTTCGAATTTGCCTATCCAACAAAGACATTTATGTCGAATTATCTGGATCGACGTCTCGTGTCTGTCTTGGTGACTTCCATGATCAGATTGGGCTGTCATGGAGTGCAGCCATGGAGGGAGGGATTAGGTTTCATATTGTTGTTATTTAATATACGCAATGCAACGAAGAAAAAGAGATGAGAGTTGGGTTGGGTTTGGTTGGGTATGGCCAGCGTGAATCCACTCAGGCTGGCCAGTGAGTGGGTAGGATTTTGCCCTTTGTTTTGCGGATTTTTCTTTGTTCACTTTCCCTTTATCCTCTTTTCCGGTGATTTGGTTCTTTCTGTGGGTGGGTTTAAGATGGATTCTTTTGTTCATACTCTCGTTGTACAAAACCCTGCCTCTTGCTGTCCGTTGGTTCACTTGGTTGTTAAATCTTGGAAGCAAGCTGCCTTGAATCTCGATTAGATTAATTAAAGCACAGGGGAGCCAGTGACAAAGATTGCTGTGTTGTATTTGTATCCCGGTTGAACCACAGCCATTAAATTCTTAATCGTAAGCTGAGCTGCTTTAATAATTGGGTTGACCGGTTCGGTTTGGGGCACGACAATGACATTTGGGCATTTCCTTGGCTGGAAGGAATAGGCTGCCACTAAAAAGAAAAAAGCATTCGAGAAGAGCCTATTAAAATTCAAAACAGGCATGCTAATGACTCATCATATGACAATGATTTCGCTTTCCCGCAAAATCTACTTTCAGATTTCCATTCTTTTTTTCTTTGAAATTGAAAAAATGAGGCTTTCACTTTTAGGTGGAGAAAAAAGAAATGATGCACTACTTGGTACGCTGCTGCAGCTGCTGCCTGCGTTGCGTTGGCCTTATCTTCTCTAACAAATGGCTTATCCATTGGGAGGGACATAGACATCTAAAAAACATCAGTTGAAAGTCTGATCTCACACCAGAATATGATGATCGATCATATAGAGATTACATCCAAGGTCCCAAGCTACTGGAGAGAGCTAAAGCAAAGCATGAAGAAGATTGCACTTACGACGAAACAAAAACGAATTGGCCTTACAAAGCCACCAAAATCGGACTCCTAACGGCTGTGTGGGAGTTTTTGAAGACAAGAGTTCATGCATGTCAACCATTTCCTACCGGACGGAGGGAAAGAATACAGCAACTACCTCAGCTACAGAGCTGGATGGGCCAAGTTGATCTAGTGAGGAGGGCCATCACAAACCAAGTTCCTTTCTTTACGACTTTGAATTTGTTCGGCCTTCTTTGATGCTCTAGATTCCATGGCCAGGCATAATAGAGAAAACAAATATGCATAGGGTATTAGATCGATACTATAAACCCATTGTCCGAACTGTGTATCAGTCAACATAAACCTACCAGCCTTTTGAAGGATCGATTGTTCGGAGATTTCGTTTTCTCCTCCGTCTCTGGTTTTGCTTGATCCAGGGCCTGCACGCAAAACATATTTCAGAACAAGATCCACTAGTACCCCACCTACCCTACCAGGCCCTCATTTCAATTGATTAAGTATTCACTCCTTGGCTTCTTAGGGCAGATCAAGAAACACCAGATTCAATTTTCCATCTATCAGTGTCTCCAGAAACAAATGCAAGATAAACATGAAAAGGATTAGGGAGTGTATTACCTGTATCATACCCTCCACACGCCTCCGCATTCGAGTATGCATGAAAGCCTCTGTGCACTGTTTAATAAACATCAGGGTAGATAAGAAGTTGACTGAATGGAAATCAAACAGACCCAACCGATGAAACATTTGTGATCAAGAAGCATTCAAGAGGTCAAATGGTAGTGAGACGTAAACTAAACATCCTCTAACCTAATTTAAGTGCAGGGGTTCTGACTACACTAGGAAAAGTTTTTAGAACATAGCAGTCGTGACCTGACCTTACAAAGCCTTGCTTAGAGAATAAACAAATCAATTAAGCAATCTTATCTGCTCTATGGTTCTTTTCTTTTTTAACGGCAGGGTGACCTGACCTTAACATGATAACTAACATATGCATAAAATGTTGAGAGATTCCATACTGTCCGGTCCAGCTTGCCGCCCTCCACATGACGGGGATAAATAACTGCAACCAGTAGGAGAAAATATGGATCAGATCAACTACCGAAGAATCAAATGCAAACCAATTTTAGGACCTATTACAGCATTACCAAAGGATACAAATCCAGCATTTGCAGATAATGGTTCAGCAGAAGCTTCTTTCAATTCAGGGGGAGGGTCAGGAGACCAGGAACACACAGGGGCACTAGTAAGTCCAGCAGTACGCCTTGTTTCCACAAATTCCTGAATGAAAATTGAAACAATGAAAAAGGAACCCAAAAAAATATCAAGGAATTTTGGTTTTCACCAACATCAAGGAAATAAAATGTGAGAGAAATGCAAAAGAACCAGGGTTATTTAGATTGGTAAAAAAATCAGGGCTTGAAAATGGACGTTCAGTTGAGTTAGTAAGAGGTTAAAGAGGACTTGTAGGGAGGTCAATCTAGTAATCAACTCTAGTCTCTAGGCCAGTGGACAAAAGTCCAGTGATGTAAACTTTACTTCGACCAACTCCCAATTTGGCCTCTAATTTCATGTATGAGCAATACCAACAACACATAATAATCTAATCTTCATAATGGTATGACTGGACAGCAGCTACTGACATCTTCAAAGCAGGATACTTAGGCGAGAATATACCTGTAGGAAGGAAGCTGCATATGTAGTATCTACAGAGTCGCTGAATCTCATAGGATATACCACCGTCACCCTTTCAGCCTGCCATGAATGGTTACGGCCTCTGCTCAGATATATCAAAGGAATTTTGGTTTTGCGATAACTTGAACTTGACAAAAAGATATTGATAATAGTGAATATTCTCTAAACATTTACTGATAGATCTGATAACAAGAACCTAAGCATCAAACAAGTCAAGGTGCTTGTACCTGAGGAAAAAGGAAAAATGACTCATTAGGGCGATGAACAAGGGCCAGAAGCCCATCTAAACCAGGAGCAACAGTCCTTGACAAAAGATGTTTCAGAACAACACTCAGTGGAGCACCTAGTACGACTTCCCTCACAGATGCGATCTTCATCAAAAGAGCTTGCTTGCGCTCTGCACAATACCGGCAAGACTATAAGCCAGGACCAGGGTTTGCAACTAATAAAAACCTGTAGCTTAGTGTCAGAGTAACTTATAAGAGCCACAGCTGCCTAATAGAACTTGTAATACACATAGAGAAGTTATGATGAGTTTCATTTGTATGGAACCCCTGGCAGCCATAACACTTAACCACTCAGTCAAATCGAGACGTTGAATCACTTTTCAACAGTCAAGGTAGGTCATGACAAGCCAACTGTAATCAGCATAGCACAAAGAACTAGGTTGTAGCACTGAAAATAAGATTGACAATACTCTTGTTTCAAATTACGGTCAACAAAACCAACAAACATCCTATTTTTGAAGTAGTCTAAATGTTCAGTTCATAAAGATAGTAAAGCTATTAGGGAAATATCTCGCATTCCAGTATCAGGTCTCAATATTCACATAAACAATAAAGAGAAACAGAAATAGGGAACTCCACAATCTGCCTTAATCAACAAAAACACACGAACCGAGGAAAACATACGCCAATTTAGAATGCCGGCAATGCAATTAAGGCAGAAGAAATGAGAATGTCCAACATAGTGTTGCAATGTACATGGCAAGTTCATAATGACCTTAGGAAAGGAAGTCGCAGAACCTTCATCAGTAGGGAGTTTAGCCAAATTGATTTTCAAAGTGAGGTTAAAGCCATCCCTGGGAGGGTCAAGAATCTGTACAACCGACCCATACGCGGATTTGATAGCTTCTATGGCTCCATAAGGGAGTCCCCCCACGAACACGGTTTCTGGAGGTGGGACAGGCAGCGACACAGACAGAAGCAGAACGTTGGGGTTCTTTGCTGACACCTAAAAGATTTGATTTTTCCAGGGATATCAAAGGCAATGCCACAAATTGAAGAACCCAAATCATAGAATCTCAAAAGGGTATATCAAGCTTTGAAATCACCTGAACATGGTACCGAATATCTCCGAATTCAACCCAGTTGTAATCGAGCTCAACTGCCTTGTCAAGACTGAAACCAGACGGAACCAGAGCTCAGAATAAAAGAAGATGGGAAAGCAATTAACAGGTTTAAAGTTACGTAAATGATTATGGAAACTGAGATAGGAAACTGAAACGACGCACTTCTGGACCCGGTTCGACAAGGTCTCGATGAGAATTCTAGAATGCGACTGCAACAGAATCATGGATACCAAATTCAATGCGTCAGAGGGATTACTGGAAAAGGTGAGCGGAGATGTTAATCCAATCACGATAGGAAATGGGTTCTATCTGGTTACTGCTGAATCGCCGGGTAATAATTGAGACGGACGGGAAACGATGATACTTTTGGATCTCTTTTGCTCCCTTCCCTTGAAGAGTCAGACTGTCATTTTTGTCGTGCTCGACGAGTGCTAATCGGATTCTTTTCTGAATGGTTAAATCTCGCCCTAACTTATTTTATCGCCTAACTTAAAAATATAAAATTACTCAAATAGCCTTACAGAACCAGATACAAAATTAACAAAACAAACAACCCCTATATCCTTTTTTGCATCGCTAGAAAACTGGCTTCTATTTGTTGGCAGCCATTACAAAACTTTTGATCTTCGGCTTCTATTCCGATTAAGCGTTCATCACCTAAGCAACGGAAGAGAAAAGAGCGGGCGAAGATCAAGCAAGTGTATGCACAGTGCCGGCACTCGCTCGGATCTGAGAACCCTAGTTGCCACGCCACGTAGTGCGAGAACCTCTCCACCTTCCTCCCGTCGCTCCCGAACTCCGTCGCCGCCTGGTCCAGCCTGACTCGCTCTCTTATTCTTGATCTCCGGCAGTAGTAATCGGCCGCGGCGACGAACAGAGCAGATCCCCAGCCGTTATCCCCCACCCCCCAATCCTTGTATCCCAATTAAATTGAAAAGGAGATGGAGGAAGGGAATGAAAAAGTGGCGCAGGGCACAACGAGCCAGCTACAAGAGTTGTTGATGGATTAGAGGTTTGAATTGGGGAGGAGTTGATTTGGATGGATTAGAGGTTTGAATTGGGGAGGACTGAGGAGTTGATTTGGAATAAACAGCAGCTTTTTTTGACATGTGAGTAAATAGCAGCTTCATATAAAGAGCTAGTCAATGGATGGTTTCGTACTGTAAATGCTTGTGGGAGGCCGGAGGGGTTGAAGTTCTCCCTCTTCGCCGGAACGGGAGAAGAAGGTGAGAATTTGCATTGTTCTTTTTTCCTCAAATAAAGTATTGTTTGCTTAAATAAAAGATTTTAAAAATAAAAGGATAAAGATGTAATTCTAATTTTTAAGTTAGGACGATTGCAGTAAAATCTAGGGCGACAATTAGCAATCCCCATTCTTTTCCCCAACTAAGGTGAGATATGAAATTTGATAATGTAACGAGGTGTATAGCTTATTGTTGTATACTTTTTTTATTGGAAAATACGTGATACAAATAGTGAATTTTAGTAGCAAAGAGACATGAATGATGCAACGAATAAAAAATCAGCCTTATGAACCAAAATCAAGTACCTATTACCTTGTGAAACGATATTGTTTCTGGTAATATGATGAGCTTATTGTTGTAATGAGGTGTATAGCTTATTGTTGTATAATTTTTTTTGGAAAATACGTGATACAAATAGTGAATTTTAGTAGCAAAGAGACATGAATGATGCAACGAATAAAAAATCAGCCTTATGAACCAAAATCAAGTACCTGTTACCTCGTGAAACAATATTGTTTCTGGTAATATGATGAGGTGGAGTAAGTTTTATAGAAACTGAATTCCAGAAAATCGAACAAAAAATCGCCTATCCTGCCGGTTTTCGGGAAATGAGCATCTCACAATCATTGCTAGCTTTTACTCGGCCCGTTGGCCGATTAATTTGCTTTATAAAACTTTCATCTTGTCATCATTGTGCTTTCTGGTTTTTTGCCAAGCCATGATAAAATCTAAAGAAAACAAGAATGAACAACACGATTTGGGATAGGAACCACTGTTCCTGTATCCCTAGAAAATGGTGGTAAACACGGACTCACCTGCCAAACTGGTTTGGATTAAGATTTTTATCGGGTATCAGGGAACCATGTGATTATAAATTAGACTTGATCAAAACGGGCCAAAACTTGAAATTCAGCTTGTTTGACCGACCCATGCCAAACTCTAATTATTCTTTACTTTTAAACTTTCTATTTGAAAATAAAAAAATAAAGAAAGAAAAGAGATGACTGCAATTCGCCATTTGCACATCACTGATTCGGGAATAAAACTATAAAATTTCGAAAGGAAACTGAAAATGTTTAGGATCGTTTTAATGTTAAAAATAACCAAATAGATCTTTCTGTTTAGTTTTTTTACTAACAAATACCAAACGATTTCCTATAATATACACTATAATTTAATAATTATGATATCAAATAATTACATAATATATATTTGAAATGATAAAAATTGGACTAATTGGGTTGGTCGAGGTTGAACCATTGAATAACTTTAAAATGCATTATATTTTAGTCACTAAGATATAAAATAATAGCATAATATATATTATGCTAGAGAAAATAGCTTGTTTTAGAATGACAAACCTATGATGTTCATTTGTTTTACTTGATGGGCAAATCCCGTGTAGGTCAGGCCCATTCAATTCTTTTATTTTATGATTAGCGGTTAGCCCATTAGAATCCATGCATTAGTTTATTGTTAATTTTTTTTTCTTTTTAGCAATAAAAAGGAGTATTGTTTTTTGCATTTTTCATATATATTTTACCACCACGGAGAAATAAAAGGACTTAAAGAAAAAAATTGACACTCCTGGACCCGTTTGAATCCGCATGTGTACGGTAAGTTGGCCCGTTCCACAGAGAAAAAAGAAAAAAATTGACACTCCCTATTCTACCATTCCTACAAACGCTCCTGGCGCAGGGAATTTGAAATGGGGGAATGGTTTTTTCCTCTCTGCGATGATATGTTTTTAATTTAAAAAGATACAATAAATGTACTTAGTGTGATTGGTTATGATCTTTGCTTTTCTTTAAAGTGGTCATGGTTTGAATCCTAGTAAGTGTTTTTTTAATGAATAAAAAAAGTAATTGTGAAGACCAAAATGTCCTTCCTACTTTCACTCTGGATGCAGGAAATTTGAAATGGGGTTTCAAGTTTTCCCATTTGGTTTTTATTTATTGTGTAGATTTTCACTTTCGTAAGGTCGTTTGGTTTTGGTGATAGTTAAATTGTTATCAATATATAGGAAAATTGGTATATTGTAGTTTACATCTTTTGATTTCTGTGATAATGATTCAAATATTGTAATAAGTTATATTACTTTTTGGATGAAATGTCACTTTTGCCCTTTGTTTTTAATATTAAAAAAGCAACACACATAAAAAGGGTAGGGACATAGTTGGAACAAAACAAAACCTAACAATCTCTACCAAATAATCTCAACCAAAACTTGAGATTTAATTATCACTCATTTTGTGTGATAGTTTGTGACAAATCAAGCAAACAATTGCATGTATTTTTTTGTGCAAAAAATTAAAAAAAACGATGCATTGTGGACAATGCATGTATTGTAACTATCCCAACCAAACTATCAACAAAACCAAACAACCCCTAAACATTGAGGAATTTTAGAATGTTTTAAAAGATCGTTTATTTGGTTAAAAAAAAGACACAAATTTATTAATGGTACAATAGAATTTATTGTAAAAAAACAAGAATGGAGAAGTGAATTGTGGCAAATTTAGTTTGTAACTATAATTTTTATAAATTTTTGTTGTATAAATTAAACTTGTATTTTTAAAATTAATCAATAAATTAAGTTTGTAATTATGCATGTTTGTAAAAAAATTATTTATGGTATAAACAAAAAAATTTACTTTAATGTTACAGTACAAACTCAATTTGTACTTTTTAATGTTCTAGTAGGATAAAATATCTCGGTTACCACTAAAGTATTAGAATTGGGGGAGCTATGCCACTTAACTAAGAATATGATATCTCGTACCACTGAACTCTATTATATATCCACCCGGTATCACTTAAGTTTACTGCCAACAACCTATTTGGATATAATTCCGTTAGTAAATAATTCCATTTCTTGTGAGGATCTGAATTCAAGTGGAAATTCATTTTCGGAGTTTATATTTAGAACAAATCCTAAAGTTTTAGAAATGATTTCCTGTTTTTATGTTTGGAAGAAGATGGAAATGATTTCTTACAAGTGCTTTTACAGTAATGCCCATATATCAATATAAATGCATGCTAAAATAATTAACCACAAAATAATCATCTAAGCAATAACCCAGGAGTAGGATGGCAATTTTGCCCATACCCATGGGTATTTTACTATCCAACCCAATTGGATTGGGTATGAAATCCAAATATATGGATATGGGTAAAGTTTGATGGGTTTGTACCCATACCCATTTACTTTGGGTTGGGTTTATAACAAATGGATTTGGGTTTGTACCCATGCCCAAATACAAATTACAGTTTGGTACCTAAACTTAATAGATATGCATATTTAGTACCTAAATTTAATTTTTTTTTGCATATAAGTCCTCAAAATATAGATGGAAAATTACGTTTTGGTACCTAAATTTTTTTGGTCTTACATTTTGGTACCTAAATTTTTCAAGTTTTACAAATAAGTCCAATTTTTGCATGTGTAGTTAAAACACCCTCAAGTAAATGGATATCCATATCCAACCCATACCCATTTAGATAATATCCATATCTAACCCAAACCCATACACACATCACCCAAACCCTACCCATAATAAATGGGTCTACTTGGGTTTGGGCAAAATTACCCATGGGTGGGTAAATTGCCATCCCTACCCACGAGTAGGAGATTGTACTATTATCCACAAACTGTAATTTTGAGGAATAAAAAAAAAGCCATAAAAACAAGAAATGCGAATGATAGGCTAGTTGACAAATGAAGGGTTTTTTTTTTTATAAATGGATGCAACGGCACCCTACCTTTCATTCAAAACCACCCGGGACTCAGAGAGCCCCTGAATATCGTACATAGTCAAGTTACAAAGCATAGGATCAGCTAACGGAAACATATGGACCCCCAAAGGAACAGTATGACCCTGGCTCGCAAGATAGTCCGCACACTTATTGCCTTCCCTGTATATGTGGTTGACTGAGACGTCCCACTGTCTGTGAAGCAGCTCCTGAGCTCTATCAAGAATGGCTGCATGGTGATGCTCACTAAGGTCGGATGTCCGAAGCAGCTGACAGGCACATTCGGAATCCAACTCTAGTATAACGTGCCGGTACCCAGCATCCCAAGCTAGCTGCAGCCCTTCAACAGCGCCCCTCAACTCTGCCCGGGTGATAGAGCAAATACCCAGGTTAGTAGCAAATGCCAAGAGGCATCTGCCAGTGTTATCTCTTAACAGGCCACCAGCTGCGGCATGGCCTGTATTTGTATGAACGGAGCCATCAGTGTTGAGGGTGACCCACTCTGGAGGTGGTGGCTTCCACGAAATATCCACCTCCGTTCTCATGGGCGGATTAGGCTTATGAATGAGCCTGTCCTTGTCCAAGGCATGTCTCACGACAGTTATCCAAGCCTGGACGCGCTGAAGAAAGGCTGCAGTAGTCGTGATCTTGCCTGCAAAGACTCGATCATTCCTGGTCTTCCAGAGAGACCAGCAGGTAAGGCCAAAGTCAAGGCCAGTGTGCTCACTTCGGAGGTTGCGCTCGATCCAATCCTTCAGAAGGCGGGATTAGTTGCATCCAAGTTAACCTGGCAAGATCACAGTCCCGCAACACATGCAGGACTGTCTCCTCCGCACAGCCGCAAGCTCCGCATCCTGTTGACGTGGTGAGTTTCCTCCTGGCGCGCTCGCTGTTTGTGAGGAGCCTTTCCCTCATGGCCAGCCACAAGAAATGCCGAACTCGCTCTGGTCCCCGCCACTTCCAAATCTCCTTCCACTTGGCGGCGTCGTCTTTGTCGGAGCAGTCCGTCGCAAGGGAGTAGGCTGTGCGCACGGAGAACGTACCATTCACCTCCGGTCCCCACGTCGGTACGTCCTCACCAGCGCCCTCCACCGGTGGCTGAACTCCTGCAATCTTCAAAAGCAACTCATCTAGTAAGAATTGAGAGAGGGTATTGAGGTCCCACTTACCATTATCCACAAACGCGGCCACATGAGTGCAAGGATCGATCGGGGGAGAGTCTTCCTTCAGATAGTCCATCAACACAACACCCATCTCCACCCATTGATCCGTCCACAAACTGGTGCTCATCCCATCCTTCAGGTGCATAAGAGTTACCAGGTTTGTCACCGGCCAAGCTTTGCGCATCCCTCTCCATAGGTTGGAGGATCTGGCCGACGATTTAGCTACCAGGACGCCATTAACTGTTTTGAAATACTTCGACTGGAGCACATACACCCACAACTCATCCGGCTTTTTAGTGAATAACCACACTAGCTTAGCAAGGAAAGCTAGGTTCAACTCATGCGCCTTCCTAAACCCGAGGCCGCCCTCTTTCTTCGTTTGGCACACTCCTTCCCAGTGAACTAGATGGATTTTCCTGCTATCACCTGTGGAGCCCCAAATAAATTTCCGGACACGTCGGACGATTTCGTCACAGATCGAGATTGGGAGGAGTGTCGTCTGCATAGCATAAGTAGGTAGTGAGCTCAGCACTGACCTCGCCAGGGTCACTCTACCTGCAAACGACAAGCTAGTAGCCTTCCACCCTGCAAGTTTATTATCCAGGCGATCCAAAATATACTTATAAGTTTGTTTCGTTACCCGCCCATGTAGCACAGGAACACCAAGATACCTTCCCAGATCCTGAGTCTGTGGTATTCCCATCCTGTCCACTCTCACTGGTTTGCCCATACGTGAGGCTATTCGTTCAGCTGCCTCCTTGTTCACGTACTCAATCGGCAGTCCCAGGAGCTTCGCCCAAACCATCGTTGTTGCTACTTCAGCATCCTTCGGGTCGAAACCCTTACGCCAAGGTCGCACCGTGATGGAGTGATCGCCGATCATCCATGGTCCTCCCGCAGCCGCACGCTCATAGTCCATCTGGTTGGTGAACCGGACCACGTAGAACCCCCATGAGATGCTATTGATTTGGAGGGAACCAAACTTAGCCCACATGGACTCCAGTCTTTTCGCAAGGATTGGGTAGGGGAAGGTTCTCCCCAAAACCTTGACAATGAGTGCCGACCGCCACTTGCGACGATATCGGATCTTTTCCATGGCTTTGAAGGGAATCGTCGGGCAACGTGGATCGTCATCCTCTGGAACCTCGTCGTCCAAGTCATCCTCCTTCATCGCCTCAGCCACATCTTCAGAGTCTGACTCTGCAACGTACCATGCCTCTTCAGTGAGGCTATCGACAAACAGCCTCTTCGTTCCCTGCGCCCACGCTGACGGGTGCCGTACCGAGCAGGCTCGTCGGCGCCGTTTTGAGGGTGCTTCCCTCCTTGGAGCTTGCAACGTCAACATCAGTCATAACCGCCTCCCTCTCAAACAATGGGTTGGCCATCAATGGTTTGGCACGCTTCTTAGCTTGTTGTGTCTCTTGTTCCCCTTCCCATTCGGTGAGGACGTAGCCGACGGGGGTCGTCGTACACCTTGATTCACGTCCGGGAGGTGGCACTCCGGGGGAGTGGCCCCCGGCGCCAAGCTGCTCATCAACGTCGAACGGCAAAGGGTCGAGCTTTGGGAACGCGCCGCTCCGAGAATTATGGAGCTAGGGTTTTTTCAGGAGTTTTTTCCAACAAAGTGGGCACAAATGAAGGGGTTAAAACTTAAAAGTGGGCATAAATAATAATCCAACAAAGTTGTAGAACGTAGTTTACCTGGAAGAATTGGTCGGCGGAAAATGGAGCAGAGAAATTTCAACAAAAAAAGTTAAAGGCATACTCTATTTGAAGGTTAATTTTGGAATAACCAAAATTATGAAGGGCTTATTGGAAAAATGTGCCAAAATTTGAGTGGGTCCATCAATTCCATTTCTCCTTCCTACAATTCCAACCACTTTTTGAGGGAATTATAATTTTCAACTTTTTGCCTATTGGAATTTCATTTCCTATTTATTATTTACTTTCAAACATGGGAATTATAAAAAGTTTGTGAAATTGAATTCCATTTTCTAAAACTTTAACTTATCCAAAAAGGCTGTAAGTATATTATAGGTTGGGAAACGGTGCGGTCTGGTCCAGACCAGACCATATATCAGGTCTACGGTCTAGATCGAGAGGTTAGAGTATAGATCATAGACAAGACCACAGACTATATGGTCCAGACCAGACCATGCCAGTCCCCTGTGCGGTCTGGTCTGGTACGGTTTGGTCCAGATAGACCACTGAACGAAAAATGAATAATTTAATTAGTCAACTGCACAAAACATGGAACCAATAGCCAAGAAAAAAATGTTTTATTTCCTTAAAACATACATTCCTACATTCATGGATAGTTTTGACACCATAAATCTCAGTAAATAATAAAGATACATAATCAAAAATCCCAACTTGCACCATAACGTCATAAACATACATAATGTCATGTGAAGACATGACTGTCTCTACTCTCTAGTGAAATGTGGTTGTGAATGAAAGAGGGGACGAGATTCTCAAAATTAAGATTGAGAAGTCTGTTGAGTCCACGGTTTGGTTCGGTAAACTGCGGTCTGGACCAAACCAGACCAAGAAATCAAAACACCATATAATACATACCATGGACTAGGGGTGTTCAAACAGTGTGGTTACCATGGTAACCGTTTTAACCAGTACTATTTGGATAATTTGGTTTGGTTAATTTGGATAATTGGTTTGGTTTGGTTAAAGTTTTTACCTTGTTTGGTTTAAGTGGTTTGGTTTGGTTTCAGACACTCCTAACCAGCCAAACCAAATTAACCAGATAAATAATTAGCTATATATCTAATATATACACATACTTAATACTTTGAATAACCACTCAAGAGTTAAACGTTCATTCTTTTAGACTCATAAAATATAAAGCTTGATATTGTTCCTATAATGTATATTTGTATATGTAGAGTGTAGACCACAACATATGAACGCCTAATTTAGATAAATCTCATACATTATGTTGGATGAAAACTTGAAAGCAAGGTCATTTTCAACCTATGAAAATTGCTAAAAGACTAAGTCAATTCAAACAAACACAACAATTCATTAACTCATACCATTGTGATAAATTTTTGTTAGGTGAATACTTTTATACTAACCGTAAGATAATTGTCTTAGTTGCATGTATTTATGTTAAGGGTCAAATATAACTATGTGTTGATTGTTATGTTTTATTTATTATATAAATTGTGAATTGATAACTTAACCGAAAATTTTCTCACTTAATGATAATATGATTTTATATTGGTTAATCTGGTTAACCAATTAAACAAACCGATTAAACTTTAGCTTGGTTAATTTGGTTGCTGTATTAGTTTGGACTGTTTGGTTATTATATTGTATTCCATGGTTAATGAAATTTAGCCTTATTTGGTTTGGTAATAACCATGGTAACCATTTCAATAGCCCTACCATGGACCAGACCATACCATACTTAGCGATCTACGATCTCGACCAAACTGTGTGGTCCAGTTTGGACCATGGTTTTTCAAACAGTCTGGTCTACTTTCCCAGTCCTAATGTATTCCGTTAAAGTTAACAGAATATTTTTGGAATATTCCATTTTCTAAATTTCATAATTCATTCTTCTACTTTTGTTATTGTAAAAAAATCATTTGGATTTAGAAAAAAAATCATTTTTTATTATTTAGTTGGAATTCTCTTTTGAAAACTTTATATCAAACCAATTTTCGAATAGAAAATTTAGAATCAATTATCATTGTAAGTATTTTGAATTATCATTATGTGTTCTAATAATTGAATTAATTCACTTAAGCAAATATATCCTATGAATTATGTTTAGTTGGAGTTCTCTTTTGAAGAATCTAATACCACACCAATTTTTGAATAACAAATTTAGAATCAATTATCATTATGTGTTCTAATAATTGAATAATTACTCCTTAAAGCAAAAATATCTTATAATTTCTATTTCGATATAAATAATCTGAGGATATTTTATTTAGTTCTCTTACATCATATTGATGTTGTCTAATTTTTCGTGTTAAATCTCTTTTTAAATCTCTAATATTATATTGTTGATGTTCCATATTTGTTAAATTTACTAATTTTAATCTATCTATCTATATCTATCTATACTTTATATTATGGCAATTCAAAACCAATCTCTTGTCACATAAGCACTTGGATGATCCATAATTTGCCAAGTTGGACAATTTTTTTACAAACAAAAAAATTAGTTATTAATGTATTTATGGAGATACCTCTCTTTTCTTTAATATTTCCATTTATTTTATCAAATTGTTCTTATTTATTTATTCTTTTTTTCTTTAATAATAAGTTACATGTTGATAAACTCACCAATCACACATAAATAATAATTTTTTAATTAAGTAAAAAAATATAAATAATAAAACAGAGAGTGACATATATCACATTTGTTTAAATAAAAAATATCTTATTACACCTTATGAAGTAAATTTTCTACTCATTTTTACTAAAATTGAAAGATAAGTTACATTTTGCTGAAAAAATTAAACAAATATACACATAAAGAATAATGTTATTATCGATTAAAAAAAATATGAAAAGATAAAAAATAAACATTTGACATTCAATTACCTTTAAAAAATAAACTATATTACTTTATATTTTGTTGCAATGAAACAATTCTTATTCGTAAAGTATATGTGTATAAAATAAAAAAGTATTATTTAGCAAAATGTCAGAGTATAATCTTGATCGAGTAGTTATATTTATTTATTTATTTAAAAAAGACTTCTTATTCATTCAGATAATGTTCTACCTTAAACTCCTCAAATGAAGAGGAATCGCATGTGCAATAATTTTATAATGCGTCATATGTTCACATTAATAATATTTGTTCTATATCATGTTGATTGAACAAACTCTATTGAGGTTCTAAGTCATATGCTAAAAAAAATTATTTCGGATTGGAGTTATCATCGACGATTATAAATCAAAGTTTCCGAAATGACTTAAGTATGATTATTGACGAACTTTGACTTCATACCTTAGGATGAGACACATGATTCCTTATCAATTATTGAAATGTGTGTGTATTGGAGACACTCTTTATCAATTATTAATATATAAGTGATAAAATCTTTGAAAATTACACATTCAACGATCATGTTAAAACCAAAATCCTTGATAGTGTGTGTGAGTGTCTAAGATTGAGATTCTAAACCAACATATAAACAATGACCACAGGTTGAGGTTTAGTCTAAACTTCAAGAATTAACAATTGATACATATTGTATAATATACTAAATTTAAGTGTCTTGATAAAAAAAACTAACAACCAAAATGGAAATGAGTCGAGATTAGAGAATTTAATCATCATGAGGGCTACGGTGCGTGTCAAGTTTCAATATAGATGAATAAATTGATCCAATACCGAAGTATCTTTACTAAGAACATTATAATAATAAAAAACTTTACTAAGAATTTCTCACTAAAAAGTCCTAATCTTTACAATATTGGTCGAGAGTTCGTCCAAACTCGAGGATCATGAATGTGTATTGGATTTCCAAAGGACCTAAAATCTCAATTCCTTTCGGGGGGGCTAAATACCTGTGATCGCAACCATAGGTGCCAAAGAAGAATGAAAAGAAGCCCAAAAATAGCAACATAGAACATAACCTCCAATGGTTGTCTGATGTTATGGGGATAAAAGCGGGATCTATATCACGGGGGTGGGGCATAGGAAAGCAATACTCTTAATATGAGTATTTGGCGAGATAAGATAGGTCTGACGAAGTATCTGAATAATTTTGAGTTTACTATATACACACACAAATACATATATATGGTTCAGGCTAGCGTACACCTGACGTACGCTATACGCCTGTGTTCACACCTATATATTAATTATTAATTGTCTTTAGATTAATTATAATGATAATTACAATCGTAATACCCATCAATTAATTGTTTGTTCGTTTTAGTCCCATCAATTTCTACCATCCATCAATTTCATCATAAGTGAGAAACAGCTTTTAGTGTCCGATTCTCCATCCCTCTATCCCTTCATTGGCGGAACAGAAATCTACGGCTTTCTCCTCCGTCCTTCTCGATCTTCCGTTCTCTTATCATCCCCAATATATTCTGACCGGCCCGCCATCGTCTTCTTTATGATCCCAACTCGCCATCTCACCCTTGTCCAAATTAGACCCCCAATCCTGTATAATATCTATGTTTTCTCATCTCTTCGATTCAAATCCCGTGCGCATTCAACCGTCCGCAATTCGCGATTCATCGATCAAGCCGGTGGGATAAACTAATGTGTAGAAACTTTAAGGAGCAAGTCTTAGAGTATTTGAAGCATGTTGTTCAGGAAAAGGTTGTCCCTTTGTACATAAACGCGCT